ATGATCTTACTCTGTCAAGAAACACTTCCTGCCACTTCAGCTTTATTCGTAGCTGGAATCTATCTTAGTGCACTTAGCTTACTTTGGTGTTAAATTTGAAACTGAAATATAAAGAGGGTCATTTTTTATCCCTAAAAGAACAGAACCCTTAAAGTGATTCAAAAAACAGCTAAGAGCTTTATTTTCAGAAGGACTTCTTGAAGTCATTTCATTCTTCAGTGTGTTCACCTGGTGATCACTTGAAGTTTGGGGGATCATTGTAGAAGTATACGTTGTTCTTTTCAAAGATAATAGCTGTCACTGGCAACTTCACACACCTTCAAGAGTTCTTTGGTTTGGAATTTAGGGTGACAATGAGTGTTAATTTCAGCTGGGGTAAGACAGCACTGATATGTTCTTGTTCTCCAGCCATGAGTGTAGTGGCTTCTTTCCTGGTGGGAATGCAACTATTTAGGTCACTGCTTATGAGTTGGTTGGAGAATGGAGACCTGAGCTATTTTGTTAAAAGTAACCCCTCATGTAACCATTGTCATGAATTCACTGTAAAAATGAAAAAGATGAATTCAGTGTAGAAAGTGTCGTGGCACATAATGAAAACTGTGCTGGCAGGTAGACAGAGGAATGGTCATGTGGGACAGAACTGAATCTTTGGAACAGGGGAATGGAAGGGCTCCTTCCCTGGGACACTTCTGAGCTAACCTGATATGAAGATAAATTGTGAAACCATGCTGTGAAGTTTTGAATGCATTTCACTTACACTTTGAACTCTCTTTTAAAATGTGATGGTTGTATTCCCAAGAGAAACTGAATAGCTGAGTGAGGTCTCTTAAAGCATCATTTTGAATTAGTTAGTTCTCTGTACAGAAAGGTTTACAACAAAGATGAAGTACGATCCTTTTAGTGTCTGCTCAGAGAAGATGGGAAAATACCAATCATCAGTGATGTGAGGAAGATGACAAAATAGTGAAATTGTCCTATTCTAACAGTATGTTTGGCTGAGGGTGTTCCCATTACCAAGCTTACATTTTAACTGGATTGCAAACTGTTGTATGGATTATAAAGGGTTTTGTAAGGAATTTAGAGAAATGCTATTTCTTGCAAACTTTTCCAAAGATGAATACTAGTTTTTTCTAGTTTTTACTCTCATGCCCATTCACAAGCCAGGGTTCATATGCCTGTTCATATAAATTTAGTGTAATAACCAGAAAATCCCTCTTCTGAACTTACGCTTACTCGAATCTTTCTGGTAACTCAAATTCTCATTATTTCAGCCCATATGCTCTTCTTTCCTCCAGTGCTCTGGGAGCAGAGAGATCCAGAAAATCAAATTAACTCCAAGGTCAAAAAATCCATGATCTGAGCTGAAGGGCTCTTTTCATCTGGGGATGCTGCAGCATTAAGTTGAAACTTTTGAAATCTCATTGTGTCAATAACAGTGAGCAGACTTTACCTGCAGGCTCTGTGAAGTGCACCTGAATTCAGGTGGACATACATCTGATATAAACTACAATAGTAATAAAAGGGAAGCTCTAGACTTTTTATGGCAAATCTGTAAAAGAGAAAAAAAACCCCACAAAACCCTGAAAAGGTGGCCCTTTCCCTTGTGGAATCTACAAGCAAATTCCCTACCTTAGGGACAGAACTTAGTAGAAGAAACTTTTACACACACACAAAAAAAAAAAAAAAAAAAAAAAAAAAAAAAAAGGCCAGCTGTGGAGAAGCATTTCACAGAATTTTCTTCATTTTTAATCTGAATAATATGAAGCATGACCCATGTACTCTGATTTTTTTTAATTTTACATGCTTTTCAAAGCTCAATAAAATGGAATATGTATGTCTGAGTATGCCTTGTGCCAAATTGGCATGAAGTGCTCATAAATTACACATTTGCAGATGACAGCTCCTGCAGGTAAAGTGGTTCATCCAGATAACAGTGCCAAAGTGAGACGTGAGCAGCAATTGGATTTTCTGATTTCTGAATCATGCAATTACACTTGTATATCAAAGGAAGCTGTATGTGTGCCAGTAATGTATTAAGAGATGAAACTTACTTACTGTCATAATTACACCAGGAAGGTCTGCATTTTACAGATGGTAATACATTCATGCAGCACTGGCAGTGGCACACTCACATCATCTTTTAAGGTCTGATATCTCAGGTGCAGAATAGCTGAAACAAAGTGTGGATAAGATTGTACTTATTGTTTTCAGAATTATTTTGTTGCTGCTTTAACCATGAAGCAAAATAGATATGAATTTCCAGACTTTGATACAATTTTTATTTTTTGTGACAGGTACCAGAAAGTAACAAATACGAGTTTTCAGAGAGATTAAGGTTCTCATGGCCCACACTTGCCACAAAATGGTATCCCCTGTGCCTTTATTATGAGCTCTTATGACTTCAGTTGAGGCAGACACAAACCAGGGGGAGGGAGAGAAGAAGAATGAGACTAGGTGCAGCCTCCTCTCTCTTCCTGCTTCACCCCTGGCACTTCCCAACTTCCCAACTCTGTAAGGTACTTTCTCCTCTCAGTGTATTAGCTGTGAGTGTTAGAAGCACAGAGCCAGAGAGATGTTCTACAGTCTCTTAGAGGTATGCACTGTTTGGCCATTGAAATATGTTATGTGTCAACTTGCAGAATGATATCAGACCAGGCCTACCTGTGAGTCCTGGACTAGTTTTTCTCTTGTTCTACCAGTGCATCTGACTGCCAGCTCCTTGAGCTGAGACTACGAAAGCAACTCGTTTTCTAGACACCTTCAACATTTTTTCCACTGGGTTGCTGTCTCTGTTTTTGTTACCATAATAGCACTGTCTTCCCTTCTTCTGTAATCTCTCTGGGAAAATCTAAAATGAGTGCTTGTAGATGGTTATTTTAATTTTGGCTGAAGTTGCTACTTCACATACTTTTCTGTCTCATCTCTTGTACACTGAAATGCAGTTTTCGTGCATACATATAAAAATTGTTAGGACCTTGTTAAAGTTACTACAGTACAGAAAACATATTTTTTAAAAAAATAAGGAGATACTCAAGGACTCTTATAAAATAGTTTTTGACACCTGTGATGTGTTTGTGCCACAGTTCCTGTTGGATAAGAAAAAGATTTGCTTGAAGATTACTGCACAGGTTCTTCTTAGAAAGATATTATGCTCCTGTGATATCCTCAGAAAGAGTAAACATGAGTTAAATGTCACAAAAAATGCAGAAAATTAAGGCTCTTAAGTAGCTGAAATATGAAAGTATCTTGAATTTTTAATGCAAACTCACATTTAGCACTGTTATTGTGGCCATGGGTCTTGGGATTTTCTTGCCTCCTTGCCAAATTTTTATTGTATATCTGAAACATCTTTTAAGTCAAATACAAGTGAGTATGTCACTCTTCAAAATTTGTATATTTTATGTATTTTGGTCTCACTTTCCATTTTAATATAATAAAAATTCATCTAAACTGAGAAGTATTGAGGCTTTTTTTTTTTTTACTGGGGCCATCACATATTTGTAAGTGTTCTCTGCCTTTCTTTTTGCACCATGTAACTCTTGTCTGTCAAAGATTAGACTTGTTATTTCAGGTCATTCTTTAAAGCTTGCTTTTTTTTTTTTCTTTATTTTCCTTTTCCCTCTTTTGAAGGGGAAAATGGCTGACAACAGTTGTTTCTGGTTATTCTGTTATAAGAATCTCACATTTTGAACAGTAGTGTTGATGTGTGAAGTGTATTATGCACTCATAGCTTCCAGAGAATTCATTTTAAATAAGATAATTTTGATTCTGAAGTCATGCAGAAATCTAAAAGTGAGCTCTTAGGTAGGAAACAATGGCAAAAATGTGCACACTGCCTACAAAAATAATAATGAGAATAGTGGCCAAAGAAGCAAAACCTGGGAGTCTTGGAATTCATTTTGGTAGCTCAGAAAATATTCTACCTAGTACTTTAATATAACAGTATCGCAGGTTTCTTTGTTATGAGTTTTTATGGACACAGTGGAGGAAGGAAACTCTGCTGTTACAGGCTTTAGATCCAGAAAGGGCAGTTTATCTATGCCCTTCAAAGATTGCTGTTGTATGTCTTCCTGTCCTCTTTGCCCTGCTGCCAGAGTTCCCAAACCTGCCAAGACACAATCACTATGAGTTATGAATGGGAAATTAACATCAGGAAACTTCACGTTTATCTTTGCTAAGAGGGTGCATGTGCCACCACTTGTGCAGTGATGGAACTGTTAGAACTGTTCTGAGTTGTGAAGCTGAAATAGTGATTTCAGGAAACTTCACTTCTCAAATATGGGTGAAATACTAACATAATACAATAATGAGATTTGGCAGTTTGAGATTATGGTTTTTGTGACTGTAGATCTAAGACATGGGTTTCTAGTTCAGTTCTGGGATATTCCACATGTGTACCTGCCCTAGTGCTGTAAAACTGTCACATCACTTAGCTCCTGTTTGCTGTTTCATGAAGCCATGGTCACACTTAATTGAGGAGAACTTTGGATTTAGTCCCGTTTCAGCAGGATTGAATTAGGTTACCAGATTTTACTATTTAGTTTTAGTAATGTAGGCTAGTAAACAACCTAAAAGCTGGGGGATCCAGTGAAAAAGAGCAGATATAGAAAAGTGAGCAGATGAAGAAAATGAATAAACACCTAGAAGTGGAAAAGAGGAAAGAAAAAGTAGTTTGTATGAAGAATGGTACTGCTTCTCATAGAAAAAAAAGGTTATTTTTAATAGAGAATGTGGTCTGATACTTAAACAGTTTCTTTCAAGGAATTTATCCCTGGAACCCATTATTTTTTGTGTCTAAATGCTTTTAATTATATATGTATAAGTATACTTACTTACTTAGGGAACAGATATATAAAGGGTTCTGTGTTACATTTTGAGATGTCTTATTTGTGACACTGATGGCTTTTCAGTTTTTGAAAGCAACCTCTGTGTGTATCTCTTCATAATTCTTGGAATCCTCTTGCTAATAAAAATTAACAGAGTTTTTTTGATCGTTTTAGAGGTGTGTTTGATGCTTCCCTCAAAATGGCTGGGTTCTATGGACTCTACACTTGGCTGACTCACACTATATTTGGGATTAACATAGTCTTCATACCTTCTGGTAAGCATTTGAACAATTATATTAATAAATAATATTGTGTAATTATTTATTGTACAAAATCAGAAATACTAAGTTTTACTGACAAGCTTAGGTCTGATCTAGGAGAATATGACTGTGGGAAGGGTGGAGAGAAGGCCCTGATTGCTGTCTTACCCTGAGCCTTGCCTTTGTTTTCACAGCACATTCCCTGCCAGTTATTTTACCTTTTCTTTCTCTTTCATTTGCTAGATTCAATTCCTTCTCCCTTGTATTCAGTCCAAATGTTTTCAGGTTTTAACTTTATTCTACCTGTCTTGGCTTTTGTTTCTTTCAGAGTTGACAGGTGCTGATTTTTCAAGATGCCTAAATGCAGGAAGATGTGGTATCATGAAAATGCATGATAGAGGAATGTTTCTTATTCTCAGTGTCATTCTCTGACTGTATTACCAGCCTTTGGTTTTCTTTTATTATTTAGTTTTGGAAATGGCTGGACAGTTTCTCAGAGAAAAACCTTCTCCCCTGTTCCTCTTTGCCCTTCTTTCTCTAAAAAGAATGGTAGTAATTGTAAAATGTTTGTGTACAAGGAAGCATTAAGGGGAAGCTATGAAGCAACAAACCCCAATTTAATGGGAAATGGCTGTATTGCAAAGTGCAACTGTCTTAAAGGCATTGATTGTCACTACAACTACTTAGAAAGTAATCAATCTTATTTTTTTCAACTACATGCAAAATCTTAAAAGTTGTTGCTTTCTGGTTAATGAGACAAAAAAAAAATACCCCACTTAATTGTGCTTTGTATTATGTTTATAATACAGGAGGTGCATGAAATTATAGTGGCAGCAGATCTGTATTGCTTTAGATTACAACAGGTTTTTGTTGTAAGCAGAAGGGTGTGCAGCTGTGTGCACACGTTTGCATACAGAAATATATAAGTCATAAATCTCATGTTTGCCTGCTTTCTCACTATTACGGGTGACTGCAGGAGATGCAGTAAGTCAGAGTAAGACTTGGGTTTATTTGCTTTCTTACACAGTAAGAAATGTACATGATTGGTGTAACTTCAAGTATTTCTAAACTGATGCCTCTTAACTCCTTATGACTGTCAGTTGCTGAAGGTCTTCTGTATGGGGAATGGTGTAATTTGCTTTTTTCCTAAACCACAGCTATAAAACACCAAGACCCTCATGTGGCACTTCTTCAATGCTTTATTTATAACAGTTGATGGAAGTGGGGCTTAGTGGTGTGGCAAAAGTGTCAGAATGTAACTGTAAATATATTTGTGAAATATGTTTCTGTGATCTTTTTTTTCACTTCTGCTTCTGTGTGCTCTAGCATTAGCAGCAATCCTTGGAGCAGTGCCATTTCTGGGGACATACTGGGCAGCAGTCCCTGCAGTCCTAGATTTGTGGCTTGTGCAAGGACAGGGGTGCAAAGCCCTTCTGCTCTTGGTTTTTCACCTCTTGCCAACCTATTTTGTAGATACAGCAATTTATTCAGATATATCAGGGTAAGTACATTGAACACTTTTTAAAATTAGCATTGCAAAAATGATTGACAGTCACTGATGCCTTTAATTAAACTCATTTTTCTGAAGCATGCCAAACAGTATCTTCAAGCTCAGGAATAACCTCATAGTAAGCAGTTTTACTGGCCTAAGTGCCTTCATTTTCCCAGGCCGCTTTTCTGTGAGCTTTGACACTTCAGAGGTCTTGAACCCAACATCAGCAAAATGAACTGGTTCAGTTGGGATTGTTAGAATTAGTTTATGTTTTCTATTTATCTAATTATTGAGTAGAGGTGTGTAGCATTTCCTATTTATCTCCTAATGCCAGATAATGCTGCAGAGCAGATAAAACCATGAGCTATTTAGGGACCAAAAAAAAAATAGAGTAAATGTAGAATAAGGACATAAAGTGGTTCAGTTAGAAATTAGTATTTTTGTTAGTTAGTCATTAGAAATTAGTATTTTTGTTTATTAAATATAACTACACTGAAGAGAGAGTACCTAATGATAATATACCTGCTATTAATACTAATTTTCATAGACTGTGGCTCTAGTTATTTTGCATTAATTAAACCTAACAGGTGAAGTATAATCAAATTACTTTTTTTCCCAACAATAAATCATGGATAAATTTAAGGCTAGTAGCTATTTAAATAAATAATTCTTCTGCTTCCTAGAATACTTTTTTTTTTGGACTGTAGAGGACACAGACTCTGTTTACTGTCCAGAAAATAGATGGGAGAGGAATAGATTTTCTGACAGTGGAGGAAAATTGTATTCTTCCAAATAAATTGAACAGTAAGCATCATGATGTCTTGTGGATTAGATTAAACCTATTTGAAGTATCTATAATTAGGTTATCCAGGGTTTTCTGAATGGATTACCTTTGTACTAGAGTCCTGTATTTCATCATTTTCATTTAGAAAACTAGGCAAAAGAACATTTAAACTGATGCAAATGCTGGGAAAAAAATGAAGTTTTTGAAGTTTAATGAAGTGAATAAAGTGAATAATGAAGTTTATAAATTAATAATGTCTATTGTTGGAGAAACATAAAACTTTAGGCCACATTTGTCTCCTCAGGAAAACAATCTGGTCCTGCCAGTAGGTTAAGTTTGATCTGGGTGAGACACGATTGAGGTGTGTCAGATTTAATAGGTCATGTTTCATGGCCTCCTTTTGCACACAGTTATGTTGAAGGCAAAGACTTAAAATTTGGGAGTTGAGTAGAAATCAGGACCATGGTAGAAACCTCAGGAACTCCTGGAGCTCTGAATTAACTAGCTGGTATTTTCTGTGTATTACCCTCAGAATTTAAAGGAAATTCCTGAGAATTTTGTGCCAAGTTTCAACTGTAGTTTTTCTTCTGCAATTCCATATTGCCATCATTATTTTAGGCATAAAGAATGAAGAATGACAAGCAGGTTTTGTGTAAATGCTGTTGGTAGGATTCACATTTTGCAGCTGAACACAACTGCAAAAAGTGAATCTGAGATACAGAAAATAAAAATGGCATGGTTTACTCGCTGCCAAAGAGCTGTTATCAAAAAGCTCTTCTGGCCCCAACTTTCCAGTAAATATTAATATCTTCATTAAAATCGAGTTTTATTTTTCATCTGAAAACATTAAAAGCTATTGATAACAAACACTCAATCTGAGAGGCTTTTTTGGAATAAAGTGAGAAGACGTGGCTATTTTTTAAAGACTGTATGCTAACTGTTCTTTAAAAGATGCACTGCAAGTTGCTATCATCAGCTAACTGAATGGCTTTGCTCAGGGGTCCTCAATTAACTGATGCTAATTGTGTTAAACTTCAACAGTTCTTGACCATAAAGTGTGAGCAGTCTGTGTAACCAACCATCTTTCCACTCTCAAAATGGAAGTGTGTTTGCCATTATGTCCTTCAGACATTGTTCAGCAGATGTCTGTCAAGTAACTACTCCACTGTGGATCTTACCAGCGTTCCAGGCTACAATAGTGTTTGATCTGTTGTGCGATACAGCGCAGAATACAGCTTGGAACCTTTGTACAGTCATTCAGACAGCAGTTTATAGTGTAAATATGGGTAGCTATAGCTAGCTGGGTCATTTCCTAAGCTTAATAAAACTTCAGGATTAATACACATTTCTTAATTGATAATGCTGTGTTTGTTGTTCTTAATTTAATTTTATTGTTCTTGTGGCAGAGGGGGTCACCCTTACCTGACAGGCCTTGCAGTAGCTGGTGGAGCATATTACCTGGGACTGGAAGGGGCCATCATAGGACCAATTCTACTTTGTATACTTGTGGTTGCTTCCAATATATATAGTGCCATGTTGGTGAGCCCAACAAATTCTGTGCCCACTCCATCACAAGCAGCGTGGCCATTACAGATTTACCGGTGAGCTGTAAATGTCTTGCTTGTATGAATTATGTTTTCAAACACATCTGTGTACATAGTCACAGGTATAGGGAGTGCGTGCCTGGGTTTTATATAATAGTGTGCACTCAGATCTGCATAAGTATTGTAGTATTTGAAGAGGATTCAGCTGTCTCATATTCTAGAAATAAAAAGTATGGCTAAGTATAAGACTCACTGGAACATGTATATGGGAAGTGTTTGTTTAATGTCTCTCAGCCCCGTATAGAAGACTCGTTTAGAAAATTTGGTGATAATACCTATGTGTCCTGTAATTTATATGTTGCTGTTGTGCTAGGAGATGATTGAACATCATTTTTAAACTCTTATTGGATATCTAAAAGTTCATTTCCCTTAAAAAGGGGCCTGCCCCAAAATACTTCATTTTTATGTCCTAATGTACAATACTGCAAAATATAAACATACCTAGATTTTAGAAAATGTGATATCATTATATGCCATTTTTCCATTAAAAGTATGGTCCTTAGTAATGTCATTATTGAATGTACAAAAATATGGAATACAGAAATGTATCTTTAAACTGTACAGTTAAGAATGGGATAATAATGATGATACAGTTAGGAATAAACTCATAGTTGAATAACTACTTAGAATTGTAAATCACATTGTGACGATATTAACAACAGTAGCTATTTTAATGTTTCTACTGTCTTGTTAATCTATATAGGTTAGCTCATTATACATATATCTTGAAGAGGATTCTCTGCTTGTCAGAAAGAATTCTTTGCCTTATTCACCTGAATAGTGCTGTCTTCGTTTATCTGGGTACTTAAGAAGAAAAACTGCTAATTGGACCTATCTGTAGTCTCTGGCTTTTAAAAGTTACATTCCAATTGCCCTGTATGACAGATAGAGCTTTTGAGTACACAGAAAAAAATCTTCATGTGTGTTTGGCTCTCCTTTATTTTATAGGAGACAACTGTTTGGAATCACTGGGCAGATTGATTGTGTCTTACGCTTCACTTTTGTTTTCCTCCCCCCACCTCCCAGGTCACCTAGAGAGAGTCCTGAGGAGATGAAAACATCTGCAGAGTGATGGAGGTGCTGGGCTGCACCTCTATAGCGTGAGGGAATCGCTGTCTTCTGTCTTGGGTTCACAACAGCCATGGCCTTCTGTCCCTTCCCAGCTGTTCCTGGGGGCAGCTCACAGGGAAGCATAGACTGGGTTTTAGGAGAAAGCACTAGGAACATCTGCTGGCCTTACATTATTGTGCACTTTGCCTCTTTGAGAGAGAATGTCTACTTCCCATGGTTTTGCATACCAACACACAGTCAGCTGCCTTGTTGAAGACTTTGAAGACCTTCTGTCTTATCAAAAGTATAGTTAAGAGGACAGGTACATGCACTGGAGTCATTATCTTATCTGCTGAAAATTACTAACTTGGCTTTTATTTACTGGGTTATTTGTCTTATTAAACTGTAGTAGCTTTAAAGAAAGCTGTAATTCCAAAATATTTATTTTTAGGCAATCTGGTGGCAAAAGAAGGGCAAACCACTCATTATGAAATGAAAGAAATGAAAGTATAATATAATAGTTTGCTCCTCCTCAAGGTGTTTCTTTATAAGCTTCAACCATCATCTGTAACTGATAACACTTAAATATATTCACTGACATGTGCTGAAATTTAATGTTGGAGACTGGTATTTTTAATACCTTCCTGATATTTATAGAAATGCAAACTGTTATATGTAGGTTTTCCTCTTACTGACATAGGAGGACTTGTTTAATTAGTTTAAGTCTTGCCCCCACTTGCAGCAAAATCTCATAATATTTTGCTGTATCCACTCTCCCAGTGGAGTCGTCTTGTCAACTAAATTTAATCAAAGGCCTTAAGTGTCTTCAGACAGTAGTAATGTAGGATGGTCACATCTCCTTCCAGTAAATGGAAGAAGTTTAATGGGGATTGTTTACTGTTGGTTTTTAAATTCTGTGGCTGAGTTCCATTCACTTTTTAAACAAATTTTACTACCAAAAAGAAAGGGGAGAGAGCATGGATATCTCTTACTGAGATACAGGATATATCTTAATATATTAAGGTATATCTTATTAATAAACAAAGATCCTGAATATGTAATTTTGCTTAAAATGCAGCTTTGGTGACATTTAAGGCCTTTTGTATTGATTGTCAAAACATTTTGACACAGTGGATCTTTATAAATGTATCCTTTTTAAATGTGAAGCAGAGTTTTTTGGTAAATACTTCATACTTGCACAGCTTTTCCACAAACCCGGTGAGGCTCTAGGTACAAAGTAGCAGATGCGCTTGCTTAACCAAAGAACCACCATTCAGTTTCCAGTAACTCGAATTGATTTCAGAGTTTGATTGATAATGAGTTGTACAAAATGTAGGCATGCCTTGTATTTATTGTTGACAGTTATTCAATGCTTGAAACAAAGGAATGTTATCCAGGGACAAGGATATCTAAGATTTGTGCACAAAAAGCTTGCAGATGTTTGTTCTACTTGAGTTCCAGGAGTGCTGACAGATTTGGAAGGTTCTTCCCATGATATTGTCTGTATTTTTACATTGTTTTGAAAAATACATTGCCGTGGAAAGTGATTGGAAAGTACTTTGATACTGAGGAAGGAAGGAAGTCCTGCTGTATGTTTGCAATAAACAGGCTGCCTAACAAGACACAAATACTCTTCTCCTCAGATTCGCAAAATAAGCTGCTGAAATTTTACTGATAAAATTGTATGTTTTAAATGAGAGGGGTTAAGTATGCTGTTTGTACACACTTGCAGGTATGTGCTTGAGGGACAGACTTGGGCTTAATTTAGTAGGTTGACTCAGGTTTATCAAAATACGGAAACATACCATTTAATATTTTAAATTCTGAAAGATCTACACATCACTAACTGAATAAGAAGAATATGTTGCTTGAATCAAATATCTGTTTCATGTCCTTGGTTTTGTGACTTACGAAAAAACAAAGTGAAACGCATTTTTATAATTGTTGGTGGCTAAGATGGAGGATGTAGGGAAAGCTCAGGCTTTACTAAAATACTCCTGCAACTTTCTAACCAGCTGGAATGAAACCACCATGATATTTAGGCAACTTCTTTATTGTATTACTTTTTTTAGTTCACAGTTTTGCACTGAATCGTTGTGTTCTTGTTGTAGCTACTTGTAGACAGGATTTAAAGCACCTCTTTGCTCACTAGTCAAGACCTATTTATTGTCCACATTTGCTATCCCATTTCTTGAGACAATCTTTCATACTCCTGTGGTACTCGACTTAGTAATTTTAAAGAGTCATTAAAATGCATTATTTTGTTTGGTTTTAAGTTTTCTTCTTCCCCTTCAACCAATTGCCTTAGATCAAAGAAGGGTCTCTGCTGTGAAGATTAAAACCATGATTGAGGCACTGTTACCTTCAGTAATGGAAATGAGTAGAATCACCTGAGAAGACATATTGCTGTTTTGAAATGTTCCTTTTCCATCGTGAAATCCTTACATAGAATTCACATCTGATGGAATGTTGTTTAGTTTGTCCTACTTTGAAATGGGGCTTCATTTTGATGCTGTCTGTTCCAAATTCAGCTCAGACTTGCCATGAAGAACCATCCATAGCACAACCTTACTCAGTAAGCTTCAGCAGCTCATGCTGTGTGCTGTACCTGATTGAAGAACCAACTGTATGGTTCAATAATTGTGCAGTAACATAGACTGCCAAAAAGAAAATAAAAATAAGGAGCAAAACTTCCAATAACACCTTCTTGGAATAGGAAATATTCACTGATTTTCACTATGTTTAGAAAAAACACACAAAAAAACCCAAAACCACAAAATACCACCTTACAAAAGAGCATACTTGGATTATTTGGGTTTTGTGTTTAGCAAGTGTCTAATTACCAGCAGAAATAGAAGACTTTGTCATTGAGTATTTAGCAATCTATATTATTTTCTGAGCAGGCTCAGCCTTTGTAAGAATGGTTTAGTATAGATCAGTCTCACATTAATGTGAAAATAATCAAACTGGTAATTTTGACTTCTGGTCTTTGAAAAGTGCCAGTTCATGGTTATATTGCCTCATCTGCAAAAACAACCAGCATTTTGGTGGGATAAGTTTTTAGTACATGGATTGTAGCTTTCAAAAAAAAAACAGCTCAACCCACTCCCTGCTCCAAAATCCCACACCACCACCAAACACCCAACCAAAAAAAAAGCCCCACCGCTGCCTGCAGTGTGGTTTTCTTAGGAGAGGCCATCTTTTCTATAATGCTTCTAGGCAAAAAGTTGATGGCCTTTAGCTTTACTGTAAAGAGTCATTCCAGGAGCAGGTACTTCCTAAGTGTATTTAGTACATTTAGTGTTCAATAACTTAGAGTTCAGAAGGGAATGCTCGTAGTAATAAAAGACAATGTGGTTTACGGTATTGTGAAATTCAGCTCTGGTGTTTTTGATCATTCTCCTTGGGGAATTGCAATTAAGTGTAGTGCCCAAAGGGCTGGTGCTATTTCAGGCACTCGAGTCTGAGTTAGCCTTTCCTTTCTGTACCTTGGCTGAACACTGCTGTAGCAGAGCTGGCAGAGGTGACTGTGCCAGCTCACAGCCCAGCATGTTAGCTTCAGGTCAGTGTACGTGCTGGCTTAATTAGATCCATCAAGGAACAAACTGCAATGGGCAAGAACTTGGCATACATTCACTCTGCCAGCCTTACTGCAATATGGTGGCTTTCAGCACAGGTGCATCATGACCAGTTGGGAGCAGAAATGATTTATATTGAAAGGCTGCTTAAAAAACAGTTTAACATTATAATAATACATATGATTCACATTTTTCAGAAGTTAAGTTGATACCCATGTGATCTTTCTATGCACAGTGATGTGTGTGTCTGCAGGTACACTTAGGCTTGTCTGATTTCAAGCTCTATGGTCCTCTTAAGGACACAGGGAAGGAGGATATACTGGGATGTGTATTTTGTCAGAGATTATTGGAATAGGAAATCCATAATCTGTTTAATTAAAATAAGAAAAAAACATTGTTCAGGGAAAATTGGATGCTGTCTTCAGTATTATCCATTGTTGGTATAAGCATAACTTTTGAAATAGGTGTATGGCTGCAGTTCAACATTGTTTTTTAGAAAGGCTGAAACAGGTGAAATTGTTCTCCAGTAAAAGCAGCAGCTGAAGTGCTATGCTGCTGATCCCTAGTACCAGGAATACTGCAATGCAGCCTTTCCTATGGACCTGATACACTGAGGATGGAAAAATACCATTATTCTACTGAGATTCCATAGCTTTGCATCGTTGATAGTGGGTGTTTCCACAGCTGCCTTTATTCAAACATTGTCTTTATATTGTATTGACCTTAATTTGTCACTGTAGGTCCTGCCATCTTAATGGATGCTGCCTCTGGAAACGGCTACGATTTTCTTTGAAGGTACTGATGGGTGTTGGGATTGAAGGTAGCATTCATTAGGTTTAATAGCAGAGGTAGCATTCTTCTAGAGATGCAATTGCTTACCTTGGAGTTTGCAATTTTACAAGATAAAATTGATTTGTCAGATAATCTTTATTGAGTGCCAGCTGACATCTCTTTAAATCCATGGATGCATAATCTTTATAAACTTTGTATTGACTTCTATTTCAAAGGGTTTCTTCTTAGTTCCTACACTTATTTCCTACACTTTTTGCTGAAGCCAGCTTTGACAATTTCCTTATTATTCCTATTTGTACAAAAGTAGAATCTCTTAAAACTCTTAACAAACATTAGGGAGACTTGATCTTTGACCTGGTACTGTCTATTTGTCAGTTTTACTAAGGTACCTTAATGCTTTATAGTAAAATTTTCCAAAATTGCTTTTAAGTGATAAAATTGGAAATAGGAAAAAAAAAACCACTGTGGAAAATTATTTTGGTGTTTTGAAGCAAGAAACAATTCCAAAAGTCATAAATATATTCAGGGATTCTACACTGGGCTTGCAAATGTATATAGTGATACACAGTGTTATATAAATATTGGGAGTCTCTGTCCTATTTAGACATTAACTGAAATTTTGGCCTATTTTTTTAAGTTACCTGAGAACAAAATAGTGCCTGTATATAATGAAAACAAGCAACATCTTCTACAATCCATGTTTAATTGAAACAGACTGAGGAAGAGCCAAGCAAATCCTGGTAGTGTGACTAGTGCTGTTTTATTGTAGTTCATACAAAGTAGGGAAAAGCTGCTAGTAATGCATTGCTGAGAGGTTGCTGTTCCTGGAAGTATTTGCACAAATTCTCTAAAAAGCTGCCAAAATTAATAGGTCATGAAATGCATCTTCAGTTCCCCAGACTCTTAAACTCGTCCACACCTCCTCTGGTAATTTGTTTGGAATATGGTTTAGTACATGAGAGTATTGCTTCCATCCCCTTTTGGGAATTGATTACAGGACCTGAAGGCATGCCTTCAGTGTCCATACTGAAATAGTATGTCCAATTCAGGAAGGAAGTCCTAATTGTAAATAAATGCATCCTTGATCTGTTCTGCATAGGGATGGACTTGAATGAATATAATTCATGTTGCATTAAATAAAGGTTAATTTTTTAATATAAATACTATATGGTGACACTAAAGCCAAGTTTGAGTGAGATGAAGGGCAGAGTTGCTTGCAGCAGGGTAAATCTGCAAGCTAATAAAGCCATGAAAAGAATGAATGCTCTAGCATCTATATATATATGTATATATATATATATATATAAATATATGTATGAAGAATTTTTAGAGTGATGTTTTTAAGGCAAAAAGTTGATTTCTCCTCGCCTCACTTTTTTACCCACTACAGTGTCATATACAGTCATCCTATGAGGACCTGAAGTCAAAGAAATGTTTCATGGTATTTGTGTAGATTAAACATAAGAAACATCACAAAGCCAAAAGCAGCCATGCTACAAAAGTTCATTAGGCTTAAGAACTGGCATCTAGGCTATAAGGTTGGAAAAACAAAATCCCAGTATTTACTACTCTTCTTGCCAGTCTCAGCTTAAACCTGAGTCTTTCTCAAGTATCATAAAAACTACTTTTGTGTTGTTCATAACCTACTGTCTGTGTAGATCAGTGTTTTCAGCTTGTCATCTGTCAGCAGGAGTATATTTGGCAAAGCATTCAATTTGTTCAGATTGTTTCCTTTAAAAACAGATTTTCTGTGCTTTAGGGATGGTTGGATACCAACTTCTTATACTTACATATATATATATGTCTGTGTGTGTATATGCTAGCTAGCATTTGATGTTTTGGTCAAAAGATGTGAGAGGGTTGGATTTTTTTTCACCTTGGGAAATGTCACCAAACCAAATCCAAAGAAACTTCAATGTCCTATCCTAAGACTGGCTACACTCTACTCAAACCTAACAGCAGATGTTTTGCATTACAGAGCACAGGTTGTTCCAAAGTGTGTGTTCCTACCAGGCCCCGTGGGGATTTGGAGCAATAACTTCTATTGTCTGTTGACACAAATTTTGTTTGTATGTGTGATACATCTTCAGAATGGAACTGTGTTCAAAACTGATGTTAACAGTAATTGGGTTTGATACAGTACCTGGTTTTGCATGTATAGTATTGACAATATAACCCCTATGTCCATCTGTGGCCCAATAAAATGTGTAAGTTAAGGTTGAGAACTACTTGTGTAGACTGCAGAGATATTTATACTAAATAATTTTGATTGTATGCACCAGTCCTCATCCTAATAAAAATGGGTTTTGTAGCAGGTTTAAGAAGCTTTTAACTTGATATTGTATTCACACTGCAGTCCTTTGTAAACACAGAATGGTTGATATATTTTGAAATAAAATGCCATTAACATAAAGAGAACTGAGTTTGATTTGAATGATGGGCTCTTTGGAATCAGCCACAAAGGCAGCAGTTAATCTGGTGAAATAACAGGTGTGCTGGAGGCAAAGCTGGATCTGCAGTCCCTGTGTGTAACTGATGTCACTGAGAGGAGCCATACTTCACTTTTCCTTACATTTTCTGTGGGAAAAGGAAGGACAGCCTCCAGGGTAACCATGGCTCAGCTGGCACCTGGCAGTTTGCTGCACTGCCTGCAGTACAGCAGCCACACGTCCTGACCCTACAGAAGCTCCCATTCAGCACCTGTAGGTAATTCAAATGACTTCCATACAGCCTGCTCTCTGAACTGGAAATGGTTCTTTAGTGCCTAAGTGGAGTTGTAAATCATTCTAAAATCCTGCATGATCCTCCTTGCATGACTGCTCACTTTTTAAAATGTTCTGGGAGCCTTGAAGTATTTCCTACGGGAGAGTCAGTTTTAGCTGGTACCTCCTTAGTTCTCTGAAGGGATCAAACCTGTTTAGTGCATAAACAGTTGGGGGGGGGGGGGGGGGTTACAATTGACTCTAGTAACATAATTCTGATTTAATTTTTTTTTTTAATTGAGGCAAATTTTCCAAGATTCTCAGAATTCTTTTCAAGTTTGAACCAAACCAAATGCATCTGTAGTCAGGCAAGCCAAAGCACATCTACTTCTGTGAAAACTCCTTAGCTCTTGTATGTTTTTTTTTTTTTTTTTGGTCATTATATTGTGCATATAATGGTGGTTTTTATTAATGAAAATAGGGAGTTCTGTTCAACACTCATCTCGGATAAATATATAGTAATGTAGCACCAACCTATTCACTCAGTCTCAACCCTTTCTTCAAAATAGTTCAGGAGTTACATGTTCAATATAGTTCATTAACATTCAGGGAGTGGGAGGGCAAAGAATATGGAGGAGTTATCAGGCAGATAACAAGCAAAAAATGTGCTTTTGAGTTTGACCAGAGATACAATTTAAAAGATTGCAGTCTTTTGGCTTTACCACATAGAAAATAGCAATTGGCATTTTGAGAAAAAATATACCCTAGGCATTCAAATACATCTAGTTGACATCCAAACACATGGTGAATGATAACAAAGAAGGCTGAAAGCTGTTCAAAAAGGCACTGAGATGATATCTCATGCTGTGTATAAAATTTCATGCTGCCTGAATTATAATGTATAATCATATCAAATGCAAGAATTCAGCTTCCATATTTTTGACTGAAGGATGTTTCTATCAGTTGGTATAGCTTTATATCAAACAATTAATAGCTTTCTCTACTTTCCCAAACCAGAAATTACTCTGGGCAAACTTTTTCTCAACGAAGTTCATATTTCACATCATTGCAAGAAGTTCCTTTTTGTTTTGTTATATGAGGTAATCTTTGAAATTAGAGTATTAGTGCTGCCATTACCTCTGCTGTGATAGGCCCCTGACAACTTCTTTGAGGATCTGGTTCCCTGAAGTCCTGAGCATTCACCCTTGCAAGTGTTTTGGCAAAGCTGGCAGATGCAGGGTAGTTTAAGGAAGAGGCAGGTTAGGCACGCCAGTCTCCTCTACACTGCTATACCATTCGTGGTGTTGAAATAATAACTATAAAAATCTCCACCTGTTCCTTCAGTGTAACTTGGTTTTAAACCTGAGGGTACTTGAAGTACATGCAGGCAAAAGCAGGGCTCAAAAGTATGCACCGACAGCTGTGTGGGGTAGTTTATTGGGTTTTCTTTCTTTTTTTCCCCTTGTAGACTTACAGCTGTGCAGACACTTGCATTCTTGATTCACAGATGGAATCAAATCCTTATGCCTTATACAACTAGGCTCTTTGCTTTAATTTTGCCTTTCTTACCAGAATCTGATGTTTTTTATTAATAAAAAATAACACCAAGATTATCTTTGGCAAACACCTGCTTTTCTTTACTTTAGAAGACAAACAGCAGAGACCATTGTGATAAAACTTTGAGAACTTTTCTTGCTTTAATAATTTGTTGATAAGTATCTTTCAGCTGAAGTTATCTGACAAGTTTTAGGGAAAATCACACATAATCTTGACTGGCCTGACTTAAGCCCTCCTTTTGTTTTATGGGAGAGAAAAATGTTTAGTTTAGAAGCTTTGCATGACTTGGCACATCCTTTTTAAAGCACTGCTGACTCCACACATGGATTGCTCAGAGATTGCTTCTTGGAGAGAAGTCAGGCTGAAAGCTTTGCACCTCATGTTTCACAGTTTTCTGAAGAAAAAAAAATTCATTATTGGGGTCAGGAATGTAATTGGGCTTGTTTATAAAAGGCATACTTTGGTAAATTTTGGTTTGTTTGAACTTACCATAGAATTATATAATATGCTGAGTTTGAAGGGACCCATCAAGATCATTGAGTCCCAACTCCTCCCCCTGCACAGGACACCCCAATAGTCACAGCATCTGCCTGAGAGCAGTGTCCAAACACTTCTTCAGCTCTGTCAGGCTGATGCTGTGGCCACTTCCTTGGAGACCCTGTTCCAGTGCCCAGCCACCCTCTGGGTGAAGAAACTTTTCCTAATACCCAACCTAAACCTTCCCTGACACAACTTCAGGTCATTCCCTGGGGTCCTGTCACTGATCACCACAGAGAAGAGATTAGTGTCTGCCCCTCCTCTTCCCCTCACAAGGAAGTTGCAGACTGCAGTGAGGTCTCCCCTCAGTCTCCTCCAGGCTGGACAGACCAAATGACCTCAGCTGCTCCTCATTCGGCTTCCCCTCCAGACCCTTCACCAATCCTGCAGTTTCTTGGGACATTCACCCTTTGCTGGTAAGTTAAACTTGCTGCCCGCAGTCTGGGCTTATGGATGGAAAGGCTGGGAACATTTGATATGAAGAGTTAGAAATTAATCAGTGACCAGTGGTACAAACAGGTTAATGATCAACAGATTACAATATGGCAAAGAAGCATTTCCATGCAATTCTCTTCTACCTCAATTTTACCAACAGAAGTAACAGGCTTGTCACAGTTTAAATAATTAATCTTTTCTAAGATGGTGCAGTCAATGACTTGTAATGATTAATATGTTTATTATTACTATTCAAAGGAGTATATCGAGGTAGGTTTGTCAAACTAGAGGTATTTTCAAGACCTACTCTCATTGACTTTAAAATGTAAATTAATGATGACAAACTTGGGAAACAGCAGTCCCATCAGCCAGTATGATTCCAGAGTTTTTGGCTCTGGACTGGTGATTTGGAGGGTTTACGTGGTAAATGTCAATATGACACATGTTCAGTAAATGTCCACATACAGGTTACAAGCCCAAATAATAGAACAAAACAATTGAAAAATATTAATTGACAGTTAAAGGATAACTTCATTATTTTATGTTTGCTGGTTGAAAGGAGCTGCAGGGGTTTTTTTGTGACAATGGGGATATCAGTCTTGGAGCGAGAGCAATGTGAGGCTCCAATCGGACTTTGTGGTGTAAACTGTTGATGTAAGATTTTGCTTAAATGTGATGCATTTCCAAAAAAAACCCCAAAGAAATGGTCTGTGCATTTCAGAAATGGAATCTAGATCTTATTTTTATCAAAGCAAATGGTTGCTTAGATGCCTGTCAAAGAAGGTCCTAAAAAGGTCATCTTTCCCTGAGACATGCCGGACCTTTTTCTTGGTGAAGACAGTTCAATTCTACTCATTTCAATTTAACTTGGTAAAAGTCACAGCATCCTGTTCAGACATCTGATGGAAAGCCTAAAACCAGATTATATCCCCTTCAGGAGGCAGCAATGTCAGGTATTCTTTAGTTTTGTTGTGTTGGGTTTTTTTTTCGAACAAATTCTGTTCTGTGTAGAGCAAAGGCTACTGGCTTTTGTCAAATGCTGGTTTAGCTGACGGCTTTCAAGAAGTGAGCCAGTGACAGGGAAATTCAGCAGCTTATACACTGGGAATGCCAAACCTTTTCTTGTGCTTCTTGGTGGTCTGGAACTGACATGTAATAAGTTATTTCTTTGCATTATGAAACACAGTTAGTAGGTAGGTGTAGCCAGACTGTCATTGCTGCACTATAGCACTGGTGGTTTTTCTGCTCCCATTTTTTGGTATGTCCTGACAAACATAAGCTGCCTGTACACGGTAAAGCCAATTTCTTTGTGAAGATTTAAACTGATTTTTTTTTTTTTTTTGCCTTCAAGAGGAAATAAATTTGATTTTCCCTTTGAAGTGTTGCCAGTTACTGTGAATTGGTAGAATCCAATATGTTTTCCTAGCCATATTTATCTGGGAAAGTGTCAGCTAGTTTGAACTCTCTGCTTACCATCACCACTGGTTTCAAAGCATTTAAAAGCTTGTCTTCAATGCACTTCTGTCTTTTATGAGAGCAAATGAATGCCCTGTGGTGACAAAATCTTCCAATATATTTAATTTTCTAGCCAGAATGAACTACCTTGCAGTGGTTGCTAGTAAGTAGCTAAACAGAATTTTCTCATTATTTGTTTTAAGAACATCTGATTTGCCTGTGCATTTTCAAATGTTTCTGTTCTCTTTATTGCTCAGGAATAAATATTTGAAGAAAATGAGTTTTAGTTCCCCCAGCTGTAAGCAATTCACCATGTCCATAAAGTAAAGATACCAGCCCCTTCCCTAGATACAACACCTGGTTTTCTACACCTAAGTCCTATCTTTGAAAGTGGAAGTGCTCTGAATGTTCATACAAACTAAACAAAATTTGAAAAATAATTATTTGGCTAAATTTCAGTGATAAAGGGGTTTCCTGTCTTCTGGGCAGTCATTCACATGGCCAAGGCAATGCTTCTATTTGGATTGACTGTGAAGAATTTTGTTGACCTCATGGACTCCTGTGAGACCTGACAAACACCATGTCAAAAGAAGATCAAGATTAAAAAATCGGTAACACACATGAAAACTTAATTAAAACATAGTAAGTGAGTGTAGAAATAATAAATAGGAATACTTCTTGAAACCACTGTGATGTAGGAGGAAGCATTGTAACTACTTGAAGGTTA